TTCTTTCTCTAAGGTATAGAATCGAGAGTGGACTTCCAGACTGTTCTTCAGAGTGACTGTGCTATATCTTGCATGCCCCTACCAGTAAGGGTTTCTGTTGCTCCAAATCCTTGTCAGCACTTAATGTTATCACTGTTTAAATTTTAGCCATTCTATTAGCTACGTAGTGATATCTCATCATGGTTTTAATTGGTATTTCCCTAATGGTAGGAAAAGCATAAGAGCAGAAATCAGTGCAATTAAGAACAGAAAAACAACAACAGCAAATCAATGGAGCCAAAATCTGATCCTTTGAAAGGGTAATAAAATTCATAAATTTCCAGGAAGACTGACAAAGAAAAAGCAGATTACCAAAGGTGCAGGACGCATACGTTACCAACATCAGGAATGCAAGACACAGTGTTGTCACTATTGACCCCACAGACCTTGATGGGGGCAGTGAGGGGCCATAAGCTCTGACTGTCCATAGACTTTCAACAACCTGGGTGAAATGGACCAATTCCTTGATAACCACAAACTACTAAAACTCACCCATTATGAAGCAAATGGCTTGAATTCTGCTTTAACTTTTTTTTTCAGTGCTGGAGATTGAATCCAGGCCTTTGCCCTGAACTACACTTCCAGCCCATCCATCTGTCTGCCTGCCTTTCTGTCTATCTTATCTCTGTTTGTCTGTCTGTCTATCTATCTATCTCAGTCAGTGCTTCCTAGACAAACAGATTTAATGCAAGATATACAAATATATAAGAATTTACACCTGCCTCACAAGTGCAAGGTCCCAAGTTTGATCCCCGGTACCAAACAAAAAAAGAATTTATATGGTAGGGTTACAATGGCTGCTTACAGAGTCCGGTGTGGAAGAGTGCAAAAGAGCTGTCTGCATGCTGGAGATCTGAGGGATCGAGTCAAAGGCCTGGAGCTCAGTGTAGTGTCCCATGTGAGTCCACATCAGGAAGCTGCAGGGTCTGCACTGGAAGCCAGGAGACTATGTCCAAGGTGAAGGCAAAGACTGGAGCTCCTCCAAAGGAACAGAAGTGATCCTTCCTTCTTTGTTTCCCCTTTATACCATTAGGATGACAAGCCCCCCTAGGGTGGGTCTTCTGTCTTCAGTGAATCCTCTCAGCCACACTCAGAACTGTGCTGATCCAATTTAGTTGGGCATTTCTTACCCAAGTTGACACGATCAGCTAACTATCTACCTACTGTCTATCTACCTATCTATCTATTGTTTTTGAGATAAGTTTTCACTGAGTTGCCCAGGCTGGGCTCCAATTTGTAGTCTTCAACCTCCCAGAGTTCTGGGTTTATAAGTGTGACTACCATGCCCAGCTGTCTTGTAACTTTTTTCTTCTGCTATATGAGGGATTGAACCCAGGTCTTTCACACTGGTATGTCCAAGTTTTGGTTTTGTTTTTTTTTCTGATTTTGAGACAGGGTCTTGCTAAGTCACTAAGTTCCCCAGGCTGGGCTCTAACGTGTGTTCTTTCAACCTCAGCTTCCCAGAGTGCTGGGATTATAGGTACGTGTCACCATGCCTGACTTGTCCTATAACTTTTAAGGAAATCAGATTTATAGTTTAAGATCTTCTGGAAGATACATCTGCAAGCCCATATGGTGTTGCTGGCAAGTTTTATCAAACATTTAAAAAAGAAATGACACCAATTCTATATAGTCTCTCTCATATATTTTTAAACTTTTTTCTCTAAAATAATTTTAGACTCAGGAAGTTGCAGAGATAGTACCTAGAATTCATCTAATTTCCCCCAGTAGCATCTTCTATAATTATAACACATAGTGGAAACAGTCTTGCCATATATTTTTTCTTTTTTAAGACTGGCTCTCACTATGTAGTCCAGGCCAGCCTTGAACTTGCTATGTAGCCCAGGCTGACCTCCAACTCTTGATCCTCCTGCCTCAGCCTCCCAAGTACTAAGATTATGGACATGCACCGTCATGCCTGGCTTTGCCATATGCTCCTAATGTGATTATTATGCTAAAACATTTAAATAGTTTAAAAGTATATGAAGTAAAAATTGAAATCTGTCTCACCCCATCCAAAGCCAAATAAATTAATAATTTATTGTACAGCCTGTTTTCTGTATATAAACAGATATGTGCCTCTACATACATAATTTTATTTACTTTCATTTTATATTTATATACACACATACAAATTTTTTTCAGCTTGCCATTTTCACTCAGTAGGAAATGGTAGGTCCGAGTAAGACCCCACCTCAGCACCCCAAGTCCAGGGCACGTTTTCCTGCTGACAGGTTCTTGGCACAGGTGGTGGTAGCTGAGTGGCCTTCCTCCCTGATGGACATGAGGCTGTCTCCTGTACATGCTGCTCTTCTTCCTGTGACCCTCAGGCATGGAGTCCAAGCTTGTGGCTTGCCTGGGCCTCACTGAGTGAAGAGGAATTAATGTCTTGGACCAAATATAAAATATTATAATTTAGTTTATATATATAAAACTATTTTAACTTGTCAAATTATTTATGAAACAACACAACAAATCCAAGTTTAATAATTAAATAAGAGAACCTGTTTACCTAATAACAATAATCACCTTTCTTCACTGGTGAATGTATTTGTAGGTTGGTTGAAATACTATTATCAATACTTGCGTTTGACTTGCCAGGTTGCATGAGCACATACAGTGTCTGATGCATGTGGGTTTCCACTGGACTGATGGTGGCACACATAGGAAGCAGACTTGACACTGACTGCGGCAACCCCACACAGCCTTCTGTTGTCATCTGTGCAGTCAGTGCTCAGGCACTGGGCAGTTGAGTCATGAAAAATACAGCTAAGCTGGGCATGGTGGCACATGCACTTGGGAGGCTAAGGCAGGAGAATTGGAAGTTTGAGGCCAGCCTGAGCTTCCTGGGGAGAGCAAGACCAGTCTACTACTCAGCAAGACCGGTCTCAAAATAGCATCATCATAATAATTTATATATGCATATGAAAATCACGTAGTAATGTTAAAGGTTTGTGGTCTCACGGGGCTGCATCCCTAGCTGTCCAGAGCGGTGGGTTGGGCACACCTGCCCTAAGAGTGGTCTGGTACTTTGGAAAGGGGATTTTAGAAAGGGTGTTGGGGAGTTGGTGATCCACTTGGGGTTGGCACCCTAAGTGAGGCTGCGCTCTGGCAGAGGGGATCAGTGGCAGCTGCATGTCATCCCGCCTGCAGCGGGCTTTCCAGAGTCCCACGGTGTCTCTGTCTCTGCCAGCGAGCTCTGGCTGCCTCCTGGGGCCATGCCAGCTCTGCTGTCTGTCTGTGTGGTGCTGTAGAGAGAGGGCTGAACCTTGAGGGAGGGAACAGGCGAGAGCCCCTCCTCTGTTCAGACCCCTGCTGCAGCCCCACTACTCTGTGTGGTCAGAGGCTTTGCATCCCATGGTGTGTGCAATGCAGCACTGCTCAGCCAGGCGTGAAAGATGGCACTAGTTACACAGGAAAATGGAACACAGGCATCCAACTCACAATGGTTCATCTTGGGTTTTTCAGTTTTACTGTGCTTCAGAAGTGATACATGCCTCAGTAGAAACCACACTTTGAATTCTGATCCTTTCCCAGGCTGGCGATATTGGTGCAGCCGTGGGGTGGAGTCAGTGTTCCAAGCAGCTTCGTGGAGCCGGGCTAGGGTTAGATGCCTGGTCAGTTCAGTGTGCTGAGTGGATTTTGACTTAGGTACAGTATTTTCAAATCTGTCGGTTTATTGGATGTAACCCCATTGTAAATTGAGGAGCATGTATAGCTCGTTATGTGCAGATGTTTCAGTTAGAAAAAAAATGAGATGGCTTTTGGTAAATTGTAAGCATCACCCAGGGAGTCAGCAAGGTTCATATCTCTGTGCCCTTTGGGCTCCATTATTATTTCAATATTCATTTGAAATGGGAACATAAGTAGGACTGTTTCTAGAAAGTGAATGGTTAATTAGTATATATTCTGAAAAACTGACATTCTTGTATTTATTTTTTGAGACAAGGTCTCACTTTCTAGTCCATCCTGCCTTGAACTAGCTGTGTAACCCAGGCTGTCCTCATATTCAAGATCCTCCTGCCTCAGCCTCCTGGATGCTAGGATCACAGGCCTGTGCCACCACGCTCAGCTGACTGCTCTGCTTTTAAATAGGGATTTATCAGTTTTGATTTAATGTAGCAACATTTAATTTCCATTTATATTTGTCATATATTTGAATACATTCTAGAGGAAACTTTTTAAAAATAGATGATGCTTTTTAAAAATGTGTGGCTTTAAAGTGGTGCACAAGTTAAGTTTTATAAGTGAGCCCATTCTGCTGCATCCTGGACCTGACAGGGACCACTGCTGCATCATCGAGCATGCTTGGCTGGGCAGTGGCTGAAGCAGGGTCTGTGAGTGTCTGGCACGTGGGTCACATAAAGAGGATGCAGGGTGAGATGAGGGTACAATGCCAGGGGCACGGAGTCAGGGCACTGCATCAGGCTTGCTGCAGCGAGGATGGCTTGGTATGACAATGGAGGATTTTTGTTGAGAAAGTAGGAAACCGTGAGATTCGTGTTACAGTGCCATTCAGGTCAGGTGAAAACACACAAACAGAGCCACACACTTTCTACAGGACATGGAAGCATGCACACAGAGCAGCTGGCTGTGGGGCTGGAAGTGGAGCATGGTGTGGACAGAGGGATGAGTACAGAAGGGGGAACACAGGGAGCTAGGAAGCCTAGACCTGAGCAGCCGCCTCCCTGGCCTCAGGCTCCCCAGGATGGCAGTTAGTGCATACCTGGAGCTTCCCATAGGCTCACTTTAGGTGTCACATTCATCGGGATTCACACTTTCACACAAGTCCTGTAGGCAGAATGAATTCAAGAATTCATCTAAGGGAAAAACTTGGTGAGCACCCAGTCAGTGACAGCAGCCTAATCCTCAGATTCTCACTCGCTGCTCTTTGGGGCAGGGCAGAGGCTGGAAGAGGGCTTAGAAAACACTAAAATAATGAAGAACAGTTGTAGTGAAAATTGTATTAATGTAAGTTGTTCTAAAAGGTAGTAGTGAAAACTGCTATAAAACATATTTTCTGATCTAAATAAAGTCTTCAGAAAAGCATCAGAGATCTGCTGTTACCACCCCCGTTTTGCATTGGAACCAGTAAGCCAAGAGGTGCTTCTGTGGGCTGGGGATGAGCTCAGTGGTAGAGCACCTGCCTGGCTGTCCCAGCCCTGCAGAAAAAGTAGCGTTTCCGTGGAGACACATTTCCAGCCTTGTTTCCAGGTGTTTTATTTTTTCGGGGTCTTTGGTGATGATTAGAGTAGCAGTCCTTTTTCCTGAGTCTTCACTCAAGCACCTCCCCGGAAGGGGCTTCAGTCCGGTGGGTCGTTTTCTCCAGTGCTTTCAAAACTTGGACCTGCACAGAAATCAGGTAAGTGCTGATGTGGATTCTCTTGACTTGGGGTGTGACCTTAGCATCTGCATTTTTGACAAGCTCCCAGGGGGTGCTGATCACAATGTTTAAAAACTGAAATATTTACATACAGTATAATTCACTCTTCAGTTCTTTGAATTTTTGACAAATACATGTAGTTAAGTGACCACCACCTCCACGTCATAGGACAGCTTCACAACCTCATCCCTTGTGCCCTCTGATGACAGTCCCTCCCCCCCCAGCAGTGACAACCCCTGCCTGTCCTGGTGCTGGAGTTCTGTCTTCCCAAACTCATGTATGTGGAATAGCTCTGTGTGCAGCCTCAAGCCTGGCTTCTTCATCAGCCACTCACGTAGGAGATTTGCCCACAGTGCTGTGCCTGTGCTTACTGCCCAGTTGTAGGGCCTGGTGTGGACCCTTTAGAGGTGATTGATCCAGTCACCAGCTCAAAGATGTTAATGCTGTTTTTAATTTTTCAATTATAAATTAATTTTTAATTAAAAATATTGGAATTTTAGAAGAAATGTGATCCTCTTTTTCCATTGTTGTTTTAGGTGACATCACTCAAAAAGGGTATGAGAAGAAAAGGGCAAAGCTGCTGGCGCGATATATTCCACTTATTCAAGGTAAGGCTGGTATGTTCATGTGTTTTATAGCAAATACACTGTTTTATACAACTTGATTTAAAAATCAATTTTGGATTTTAAATACTGGTATATACAAAGGCCTGGAAAAATAGTGTGTCTAGCACCAGATAATAAAATCCAAAGGCATAGATTATAACTTACAGGTCTGGCTTGTTACAGGTCTCATTTCCAAATGGGACTTATTTTATTTTTATGGTCATAGAACAAACAGCCTGGCATGTTTCCTTACTAGACTTAGAACAAATATTGTAAAGTTGTCAGTTCTTTCCATATCACACTGATTTGTGTCCAGAACATTCATCGTTTTGAATTTGTGTGTGTGTGTGTGCGTGCGTGTGTGTAGCTTTACCAAAATTTATATTCAAGTGTAAATAAATGGTCAAGGGATCTAAGATGTGCTAAAAAAAGAGAGAAGCAGGAGCATTTGCCCAGCCAAATATGAAGAGTTATAAAGCCCTTGCCACTGAAACAGGGATGCTTGCCAAGCTGGATGGCCAAACTGGTGGGGTGGAAGGGCCCCCAGCACAGATGTGCATGCACAGACATGGTGTGTGGAGGTGGCGTCCTGGTACTGGGACTGGCACTGGCACTGGAACAGCTCCTGGGCCCTGTGTAACATGAGACATTGGACCGAAGAGTCAGTTGCAGGTGTATTAGGTTTAAGTGTGAGATTCGGAAACTGTAGAGTCTTCGGAGAATCTTAGAGGAAAAGTGTCACCATCTCAAGACTGGAAGGGTTTTTGAAGTCACTAAAGGCACTGCCACAGGAACTATAAAGGAAAAGATCGATAAGCTGGACTATATTGAAATTAGTAGCTTCTTTTTTTAAATCAAAATTCACCATAAAGAGATTGAAAAGACAAGTTGCGGAGTGTGAGAAAATTGTGTGACATGCATAACCAGAAGAGCTGTTGTCAAGTGCAGTGGAGAGCCATGGCATGATGTGCTCTCTGGACACATGGCCAGTGCGTTACCTGCATCTGTGCACTGGGACTGCCCCCCAATGTGGTAAGAAAATGCCCTAATGTAGAAAAAGGAGCAAAGGCTCAAATGAGTATTTCATAGGAGGAAATTCTAATAGCCAACAAAAGATGCTTAATCTCCCTCATAACCAGAGAAACACAGAGGCAGCAGATTAAAGTCATGGCCCAGCACCCCTCACTGCAGAGCACCTGCAGTAAGCAGGCACTTGGGTCATGCAAGCTTGAGAAGTGCAGCAGCCCCCCCCCCCCCCGCACCGAGTTTATCGCTTATTTGTACCTCATGGTTGCTCTGTGCATAGGAGTGTTCCTCAGATCCTGGGCTGCCAGAGTGCCAGCCTCCCCCAACAAAGTTCAGTCCATGGAATGCTGAAGACCTCGCATGTCAGCCAAGATGAATCTCATAGAGATGATGAGAATGCAGGAAGCCTTCTGAGTGGGTATTGCCGTTCTGAGTGTGCAAGCACACCAAGCCGAGCTAGTCAGGGGCCCTTATGACACTGATAAAGAAAGGAAAGGAAATCACTCCCCCAGAAGTTAGCATGGAGCCGAGGCTGGAGAGAGCCAAGGGCTTCTGAGTCACCTGGGCATTTCATTTAACCTATACAGTGGCTACATTGATTTTTTTCTGTATAGTTCTTAAATTTAAAAGCATGTATAAGATGGGCTTGGGAGCACATGCCTGTAATCCTAGCACTTGGGAGGCTGAGGCAAGAGGACTGCCATGAGTTCGAGGCTAGCTTGGACTACATAGTGAGTTCAAGGCCAGCCTGAAGGATATAGTGAGATCCTATCTAAAAAAAAAAAAAAATTACCATCAGACTAAATAATCAAATACCTAGCACAGTTGAAAAGGAAGACTTCTTTAAAAGTTACAAAATTTAAAAGCATGTATACATGCTTTATATTGCCTGTATTAGTGTGATATATTTTATAATAAATTTTAAAAAGAATTTGAGCCTATTTATGTGCTGTAATAGTTAACTGTTGTGTCAACTTGAGTAAGAAATGCCCAACTGATTGGATTAGCATAGTTCTGAATGTGGCTGAATGGATTTACTGAAGACAGAAGACCATCCTGGGTGTGAGTGGCACCAACTAATAGACTTGTAGCCTGAATGGAATAGGACCGGTAACAAAGAAGTTTCTTCCAAGGAGCTCCAGTCTTCACCTTTGCCTTGGGCATCCATCTCCTGGTTTTCAGTGCAGACCTTTCAGCCTCTAGATATTGACTCAAGGGACTCTGCAGCGAGCTCCAGGCCTTTGACCTTTGACTGGATCCTTCGAATCTCCAGTGCGTAGACAGCCCTTTTGTACTCTTCCACACCTGACTCTGCAGGCAACCACTATAAGCCTACTTTGTAAATCCTTATATATTCATTAATCTGTTTCTCTGCTGAGCACTGTCTGAACATCTGCTGATTTTTTAAATCAAAAACAAAACAAACTCAAAGTAAAATTGGAATTGAAGAAAACTGTTAAAACACCTTAAAGCCCATTTGCCAGAAATCACCAGCAACCATCAGACTAAATAATCGCATACCTAGCAGAGTTGAAAAGGAAGGCTTCTTTTGCCTACTTATTCCACATTGTGTTGGTGGCCACAACTGATGCAGAGGTATGGGGAAGCAAAGCAGGATAAATATTAGAGAGAAAACTACAATCATCTGTATTTGTCAGTAGTAATATTTTATACCTCAGACATCCAAATGAGTGCTTATTTAACTGTAAGAGTAAGTAAGAGTTTTTAGTTTCATACATATAAAGAGAGAAGACAAACATGCAAGATCAGTGGCTTTTCTTTAGCAATATTTTTGTTTTGAAATATGAAAAAGGCCTCATTTATGACAAAAATAAATTGTCAAATATTAATACATTTAACAAGAAAGATATAGAACCTATAGGATCACAAAATCTATTTGGAAGAAATAACCAAGACCCTAAAAATGGAGAAACATACCAATTTCCTAGGTGGAAAAAATAGTATTATAAAACCGCAGTTTGTAAATCAATGTGTGGATATAATATAGACCAGTCTGAATAACAGTGACTGATTTTTCTCTTAAACTTGCACTTGGATAAGAAAAGCCCAGGACCTGATGGATTCACTGATGAATTTCTTAGAGAAGATCTAATACCAGTACTCCTCAAACTCTTCAGTGAAATCAAAAGGGAAGCAGTACTCCCAAAGTCATTCCTAGAAGAAAGTAATTCCTGATTCTTTTATCAGTAAAGGACCCTACCAAGAAAGAGAACCAATCTTTTTATTTATTTTATTTTATTTTTTGGTACCGGGGATCAAACTCAGTTCCTTGCACTTGCGCAGCAGGCAGCAAAACCACTGAGCTAAATCCCCAGCCCAAAACCAATCTTTTTAATGAACATAGATGCAGAAATCCACAATAAGATACTGGCAAACAGAATGCAGCAAATCATCGGAAAGATCATACATCATGACCAAGTAGGATTCATTCCAGGGATATAGGGGGATTCAACATACGCAAATCAGTAAATGTAAAACACCATACAAACAGAGCAAGGTCAAAAAATTACATGGTCATCTCAATAGATGCAGAAAAAGCATTTGACATAATCCAACATTCATATGTGATAAAATAGAAGAGCCTTTGAAGAAAATAGGTACAGAAAGTCTTTATCCCAGTCTGATAAAAGCCATCTATGGCAAACCAACGGCCACCATCATATCAAGCGGAGAGGATCTGAAAGCTCTAAAATCAGGAACAAGACAAGGATGTCCGCTATCTCCACTCCTGTTCAATATAGTTCTTGAAACAGAGCGATTAGACAAGAGAAAGAGAAAAAGGATATGAATAGGAAAAGACAAATTATCATTATTTGCAGATGACATGATCCTCTACATAGAAGATCTCAAAAATCCCACTAAAAAGGCTCATAGAATTAATAACCAAATTCAGTAGTATAGCAGGATACAAAGTCAACTCTCAAAAATCATTAGTGTTCCTGTATATCAATATACACTCACCAAGAGAGAAATTAGTGAAATAATACCTTTCATAATAGCATCAAGGAAAATGAAATATGGGGCTGGGGATTTAGGTCAGTGGTTCTGCAACCTGCCTTGCAAGCGCAAGATCCCGACTTCGATCCCTGGTACCCCGCCCCCCAAAAGAAAGAAATACTTAGGAATTAACCTAACCAAGGAAGTGAAAGGTCTCTGCAATGAAAATCATAGTACTTTGAAAAACTACTTTGATGTCCTCAAAGAGGACATCAGAAAACGGAAAGATAGCTCCCGTTCCTTGCTAGGCAGAACCAATTTATCAAAATGGCTACATTTCCAAAACTTATGCAGATTACCATAATACCAATCAAAATACCAATACATTCCTCACAGAACTAGAGAAAGCAGTCCTAAAATTTATTTGGAATCCGAAGAGACCTAGAATACCAAAATCAATTCTGGGCAACAAGGCAAGGCAGGGGGCATCACAGTCCTGAACTTGAAGTTATAATATGAAGCTATAGTGATAAAAACAGCATAGTATTGGCAAACAAAACAAAACAAAAACAAAAAACAGACTTGTGCATCAATGGAACAGAATAGAGGGTGTAGAAACAACTATAGCTAGTTGATGATTATTATTTTTTTTGCTACTGAGGATCGAACTCAGGACCTTGTGCTTGAGAGGCAGGTGCAGTGCCACTGGGCTAAATTCCCTCCCCACAGCTAGTTGAGTTTTGACAAAGGAGCCAAATGCTCTCACTAGACTATAGATGGTCTTTTTAAAAATCAGTGGTGGGAAAACTTGCTGTTCACATGCTAAAGATTCAACTTAGACCCATACTTCTCACCATGTACTAAACTAAACTAAAAATGGATCAAAGATCTAAATGTTAAAAGAGACAATCTGCTAGAAGACAAAATAGGTAAAACTCTTAAAGATATATACAAAGGCAAAGACTTTGTGAATAGAACCCTGATTGTATAAGAAATAATACCAAGGGGCCAGAGATTTAGCTCAGTGGTTTGGCCACCTGCCTCGAAAGCGCAAGGACCCGAGTTTGATCCCCAGTACCAAAAAAAAAAAAAAGAAAGAAATAATACCAAGAATCAACAAATGGGATCATATCAAAATTAAAAAGCTTCTGCACAGTAAAGGGAACAACTAAGAGCGAAGAGACAACCTACAGAATGGGAAAAAAAATTTTTCCAGCTGCTCCTTAAAGGATTAATATCTAGAATATATAAAGAATTCAGAAAAATTAGACCCCCTCCAGATTTAAAGACCCAATAAAACAATGAGCATCTGAAATGAATAGATACTTCTCAGATGAGGAAGTACAAATGGTTAATAAATACATGAAAAAGTGTTCAACGTCACTGGCCATTTGAGAAATGCAAATTAAAACAACCCTAAGGTTCCATCTTACTCCAGAGAGAGAATGACTATCATCAAGAAATCAATGGGGAGTGGCACACAGGACCCATCTTCATTGCTGTTGGGAGTGTAAACTGGCATAACCACTGTAGAAATTAAAACAATATGGAGATTCCTCAAAAAACTAAAAATAGAAATTCCATTTGACCCAGCTATTCCCTTTCTAAGTATCTTCCCAAAAGAGTTAAAGGTATCATATTAGAGTGATACATGCATACACATGTTTATAGCAGCACAATTTATAATAGCTAAATCTTGGAAGCAGCCTGTATGTCTATCAATGATGAATTGATAAAGAAAATATGATATTTACACATGATGGAGTACTAGTCTGCCATAAAGGATAAACTTGAGTCATTTGTGGGAAAATGAGTGAGTATACCTTGAAACCATCATTTAAGTGAAATAAATCAGATATACACGCTTAAATATTGCATGTTTTCTCTTCTGTGAGAAACCCAATGTACAGTGGTACTTTGGTTCATGAATGCTTTTGTTTGCAAACAATTTTGGTTCACAAACAGAAGCATTTGGCAAAATTTTGTTTTTATTTGCAGCTCTACATCCAGTGACAAACAATCGTGGCCATCTTCCCTACACAAACACAGACGTATAAATAAAATGCGAAATAAAAGATAGACAATAGGAAAAAAAACCCTTGGGCTGGGAAATAATGACCCATTAGAAGGAGAAAAGTTCTGAGAGTGGCTGATACATTTTTAAAAAATAATCCTAGTGTGAAAGGACTGATCTTTGAGATACTAAGCCTGAGAGTGTGGGTTCCCACGTAATCACAGGTGGCTGTCAGTGTGCGGGGAGCTGACCCTGTCAGTGGAAGAGAAGCACCAGCAATGACTGGAGAGGATGGAGGGAGCATTTATGTAATTGGTGGTGCTGCCTTTCTGGAGGCAGGAGCCCTCTTCCTCTCCAACATTTGTGAGCATAAATCTCAGAAAGAGCAAAGGTTTGAATATGCTTTTAATTATAACAATTACTAATTCAAGAGAATATTTGAATAACCTTTGGGTGTTGTCTTCACAGGCAAGTTTGGAGACCTGGAAGTTCAAAAGGAAAAGACAGTGCTGTGTCTTGTACTTAGACGTACCCCTAAAGCCTCCTGTGGTCATAGGTGGAGCTTTTTGGAGGTGGCTGGATCTAGGGTGTGTGATGCTAAGATCAAGGATGTGAGGCTGGGATTGATTCACAGTGTGATGCCAGGATCCACCCTAGCCTGGATAAGAAAGAGCAGAAAGAGCCGCTGTGGTTCTTGCTTGTTGCTTGCTGCTTTTTCTGCAGTGCCCCTCTGCCATGCCACCCTGCCTTGGTGCAGCCAACCATGAACTGAAACCTCTATAAACTGTGAGCCAAATAAACCTCTCCTTCTTTAACTTTGGGTGTTGGGTGTTTTGTCTTAGCAAAAAGAAAAGTAACTAAGACCGACAGACAAATGTGATTGGTCACCCTGCCAGCCGGCCAGGCCACAGCTCTGAGGTGATGGTCCAGTGTGTCTCAGGGGAGGACTGTTCTCCTTAGGAGGGCCTCATTAGCTGGGAAAAGTGAGTAGAAATTCCAAGGAGAGGAAATGAAGATGGTCAATAAACATTATGTTCAACCTCACTATAGATGTAGAAATGCAAATTAAAGAGAGCCATTTTTTTCTTACCAGACTGGGAAAATTTTAAAACTTTTTTTTATAACACCCATTGCCGACAAAAGATGTGGGGAAGTGGCAGTTTCATACATCGCTTGTGGGAGTGTGAATCACTGTAACCTTTTTGAAAGTTATCTCTTGATATTTGTTATAATTACACATACATCTTCTCTTTCATCCAGTAATTTCAGATTGCCTTTTGTTCGTATGTTTGTTGATTAAGTAAATATCTCAAAGAATTAGAGCGTGTATATTTTGGCATATGAGGATGTCCATTTACTTATACAGTCATACCTTAGTACTCGATTTCTTTGGAACTTGTTGAATTTGGTACTCAATGCTTTTTTTTCTTTTTGAGACAAGGTCTTAATACATAGCTTAGGATGGCCTTGAACTCACTAGCTAGCCCAGGTTGGCCTCAAATTCGTGATGATCGTCCTGCCTCAGCCTCCTGAGTGCTGGGGTTACAGGTGTGCACTGCCGTGTCCGGTACATTTGTCCCTACTCATTGTGCGTAAGCTAGAACTTGCTGATGTTGACTGCCTTATGCGTCACTCCTCTGTGCAGCCAAAACAGTTTGCTTTGTACCCATTACCAATGAGTACTGAGGAGCCTCCATCCTGCAGTGCACTTCTTCATGATCCTCAATGCCTTTGACTGTGTGCCTTCACGATGAACCTTCAGTAGTTTCACCCAGGCACAAAGAGCAAAAAGGCAGCTGGTATTGCCGTGTCTGTGGGTGTGCACGCATGTGAGTGTGTGCAGGTTGTGAAGAACTCAGCACAGGTTCTGGAGGAGGTATTCCCACTCCCCGTCACATAACTGGCCCTCTGAGAATGTGGGTGGCCCTTGAAGGTCACCGTGGCACCTGCTCTGCTCCCAGAGCTGCTGTTTGGGCCAGCGTGGAGGGCAGCTTACCCTCTCTGCGAGGCAAGAGCCGGTGCTTGAGTAGAGGCTGTGTCTGGCCAGGGCTACAGTCCCAGCTGTGGGGCTGGGGACCCTGGTGCCAATTGCTGGGCTCCCCGTGCTCCCCTGTCTCTTGCCCTTCTGTTCCTCCCAGGGCTGCAGTGTGGGCTCAGCTGCTGGGCTTCAGGTGTGTTATTACAGAGCCAAGCAGAGCTGTGTTACTTGGTGATCAGCCTTGGAAGTCACCTAGCATCACTTCTGCCCCGCTGTGCCTGTCAAGGTGGCTCCAGCCTAGAGTTTGAGTCAAAGATGGACTCTCCCTCTTTCCACAGTGTGTCGGAGCCACCGGGAATGGAATCCCTGCTGATGAATTTTACGAGACATTTTGAAGCAGAGGCTAAAGTTGAACACATTATTCTTGTTGACTTCCCTCTGAAGGTTTCGCTTTGTGCTTTTGGCAAATGTCCACAAATGAGGGCTCCAGCAGCACGAGGGGGCCACACGCTCAGCCTGGTGACTGGGTGACTATGTCGGGGGCTTGGCTGTGAGAGCAGGGAGCCTGGTGAGGCAGACCCAGAGGTGACACAGCTGAGGCCGGCAGCACTGGCCAGAGCGCCTGAGCACGCTGGGGCCAGCATCGCCGTCACAGTGTTGTTCCTGCTACACTTTCCTCCACCTTTTCCCTCTGTCTGTATCCAGGGGCCACTGTTAGCCCCCTAGTGATGGCCAATGAGCTCAGGGTTTGCTGATGCTGGGGATGGTGCTGGGAACAAGTGACACAGGCCAGAGACAGGAAACAGCCACACTGCAGAAACGGGCTCTTCAGGGTGCTCTGCAGAGCCTGCTGCCTCAGCGCCTCGTGGCTCCCACATCCGACCGACCGGAGCTGCTGGTCCTGTGTTGCCAAGGGTGCTTGGAGGGCCATGTGACAATCGCTTGTTCAGATGGCGATGTGGAGAGAGGGTTGCAAGGACCTGGATATGGCCCTGAACCCAGGCCAAGGCTCTTTCGCGCTTCGAGGGCCATGCTGTGTTGGTGCAGCATACACCATGTGGCCACATAAAGGAAATATGTGTGTTTTAAATGCAGTTTTTCATAACTTGGAAACATATTGTTCACCAAAAATATTCCTCAAAAAATATGTTTCAGGAGTAGACCCTTGCCTGCAAACAGAGAATCGACTCCCAGGGCCCTCCCTGACCATGGCTGCACCCAAAGCACAGAAGTCCCGGCCCACCAACTCCAGGGATGAGCGCTTCCGGTCAGGTAAGCTCGTGGCCAGGACTGAGAGGTGGGCCAGCTGGACACTTGTATTCCTCCCACTGAGGCTGTTGGTTAGTTTTCTTTGCCAAAATGGCTGGTAAAGGAACTATTTTCACTTCAGCAATGATTTACATTATGTTGTTTAAGAAGACTTTAGCCTCTTCAGGAGGCAGAGGCAGGAGAATTGCTGTAAGTTCAAGGCCAGCCTGGGCTACACAGCAAGATCCTATCTCCAAAAAAAAAAAAGTTTAACCTTCATCTAATCAGTCTGTTTAATGTATCACATCCCTTACATGCTGGATTTCTGGGCTGAGGATTTAGCTCAGTGGTGCTGGCGCCTGCCTCGAAAGCACAGGGTCCTGCGTTTGATCCTCGGTACCAAAAAAACCCCCCAAAACAAAAACAAAACATGCTGGTTTTCTTAGAGGAGGCTTACAAACCCTCTGGAGAAATCTTTCCCCACTGTTACAAAATCCTCTGTGCATCATGTTGTAGTATTTCGTTACTTTGTAATCTGTAATCTTGGGAATTTCCTTTTGATCTGATTTCTGCCATAGTCAGTGCTTTTAGAAATATTTAAAATTTGGATGATCAGAATGCCCATTGAAAGAACTGCTTTCAGGGCCGGGGATTTAGCTCAGTGGTTCCACCGCCTGCCTCGCAACCACAAGGACTGGAGTTCGATCCCCGGTACCAAAAAAAACCTGCTTTCAATTATTGTTTACAAATCGATAGCTTTCCAGTGCTCGACCTGTTTAACAACATCTTCATACTGTGCAATTGTATGTTTCTTTTCCATATGAGCCCTTCTTAGTAAAGCTTTCAATAGGTATAATGAAGTATTGTTTCAAGAATACCAAAAAAGAACATGAATATTATAAGTATTTTTCTTCAGCATGGGAATATGAAGAAATGGTCTAAGAAATAATGGATTAGAAATTGTTTACCAATTTGATATACACTTATAAAAAACCACACTGAAAGTTTCTTTTTTAACTTTTTATAATATTGTACACCTCTGCTGTCAGATACATGTAAAATATTATACCAAGTTTAGGGACACAGGTAAAAGCTACCTAACATCTCTGAACCTTAGGATGGCCATGCTCAGCATTTTCTGCAGCCCAGGATGCACCCCATGAGTGGGATCGCGTGCAAGGTGCCATTCCTCCATCACCCCTTACATCCCAACACTTCCATGTAATCAGTGTGAATGAACTTCTTTTGGCCCTTGTGAACCGTAAAGTGGGTTCTGATTCTTTGTCTTCTGAATACAAGTCTTTTATTGTAAATAAGATTTGTCATTATTTTCTTCCAGACTGTGGTTTGTCTTTGCATTTCCTTGAAGTATCTTTTGAAAAGCAGTTTTTAATTTTGATGATGTCTAAGTTATCAATTTTTTTGAGTCATAACGCTTTTGTTCTTGTGTCTAAGAAATCTTTGTCTAACCCAAGGTTTCTCTTATATTTTCTTACAGAAGTTTTGTAGTTTTAGGTTTTATCTTTAGGTCTATCCATTTTTTAATTTTATTATGAATGCAGGTTATGGGTCAGTTTATTTACTCATTTTTGCATATGGATACCTAATTGTTCCTGCACCATTTATTAAGAACACTATGCTTTCTCCAGTGAACTCTCCTCACACTTTTGTCTAAAAAAAGTTACACATAGTTGTGTGTGCATCCCTTTCTGTACTCTTTGTCCATTGATATGTTATCTTTGAGGCAACCATATTCTCTTAGTGTTGAAATCAGTAGTTTGGTCCTCCAACCTTGTTTCTGATATGTGTTCCTTTGTATGTAATGTGCTTAAGATCTTTCTCCTTACCACAGTGCTGTGGACTGAATTGTGTATCCCCAAGTTCATATGTTGAAGCCCTTAACCTCCAGGGCATGGTATTTGAAGTAGAGGCCTTTGGAAGGTAATTGGTGTTAGATTAGGGTATGAGAGTGGAGCCCTTGCGTTGGGGTCAGAGAGAACCCCACCACCTGCCCACCGGTTGAGGTCACAGGGAAAAGGCAGCTGCTACAGCCAGAAAAGCAGCCCTCACCCAAAACTATCCATGCTGGCACCATAGTTTTGGATTTATAGCCTTTAGAATATTGAGAAAATAAATTTCTGTTGTTTAAGCCCAATCTTTGGTGCTTTGTCACAGCAGCACGAGCAGACTAAGACACTTTGGTTTTGAGTGTTTTGTTTCTGATGTGCCTGGTGCTGTTTGTTTCTTATGCTTGAGGTTTGTTAAGGTTTTTGAATCTTTTGGTTTGCATTGTCTAGATTTTTAGTACTGGGTTATTTTATCTGTAGTTTTTTAAAAAAGTAGCAATAAAATTAAAAGTATGTGGTTACAGTGACTTCCATGTCTGATGTGGGGTCTCTTTCTCTTGGTTTTGAGCACCTTCCACTATGAGGGCTTTCAGCTGAGTCCTCATGTGGGAATGCTTTTTAAGCCCTGTGTTTCTGAGAATATCTTTGTTAAACTCTCAAGTTTACATGATAATTTTCTTGGGTAGTAAAAATTCTAGTTTTGGCACTTAAAAAGAAATACCATACTGTCTCCTTGCACCTGCTGTTATTCCTGAGTATTTTTTTTTTTTTTTTGGTACTGGGGATCGAACTTGGGTCCTTGCGCTTGCGCAGCAGGCGGCAAAACCACCGAGCTAAATCCCCGGCCCTATTCCTGAGTATTGACCATGCTCATTTGGGGGACTTGCTCTTCCTCTCTGGAAGCTTTTAGAATTGTCTTCTTGTCTTTGATGTTCATAATTTTTTTTGTTTTAAAAAAAGTTTATTGGTTACAAAATGTTAAATACTGAAGCTAAAAATGTATAAATTCACGTCAGGCACTATTAAAATTACACACATGCCCTTCTTTGCAGAATCATTAAAGATTGAATTAAACAGATGCTTTAAATAAAATAAAGTACTCTGAGGACATTTGTATCCAATTAGCTATAGCAGTGTAGTGCAGTTTGTAAAATTGTAATTGTAAAGTTTAGCTACTATAGAAATAAAATCTGTCTAATTCTTTTTTTTCTTAAATTCTTTTATTGGTACATTTTAGGTACACAACACAGTTACATTCATCATTGGGATCTTATACCTTTGCATGATGCATCTTGGTTCTTATTTTTTCCCCATTCCTAGCCCTCCCTTCACCCCCTCCACCCTTCCCTATTTACAAAGACTTTGTTTCCATTT